TATCGATGTAGAACTGTCCTAGGAGGAGCGTGGGGAAATATCGACTGTGAGCGTGGGGAAATATCGACTGTCCGTGGGGAAATATCGACTGAGTGGGGAAAAAAAAATAGGACTAATTAGTGCACTCTGTCATGAAGTAGTTGCCATAGATTCCGAAACAAAGCTCAACCATTATGTTTTTCCTCCGGTTGGAAAAAAGCGCAGCTAAAAACTGCATGAATGCGTTTATTTTTATGCGGTGGTGGCCCTCGGGAGTTCTCTCTTAGCCAAATATGACAGGTGTAAATTCCCATTTTAAGTATTTTTACTTATCTTAACTTCGTAATAGTAATTCCAACTCCAACGCCTTTCTAATGTTTTGCCTTTTTTCTGGTTCCCTTCACACCGTCACAACCAACCACAGAGATTAAAAACTGGGTGCCAACCAGACGCCTGCTTTTGGCAAATGCATACCGGTCCTTCCGGTCTCGCCTTCAGTTCCAAGTCAGGAAAGGCCTCTGAATTGCTTCGGCTCGACTTCTCTAACGGAACCACCCGCAGCACGGAGGCAGCCAAAGAGGCAGACGGAAGATTTTGGCGAAAACCGGCGACTTGGAAGATCGAGACGCTGAATTATACAGGCAGTTTACACGTTCGGTCAACGCTGGATGCCTTGAACAGCAACAGCCGAAGCCGTCGATTTGCGCCACTTTCCACCTGGATATTAAAGAGGAAAATGAATAAAGCAAAGGAGGCTTGCAGGAATCTAACTGAGGAACTGCGCAACCAGGCTCAGACTCTGCTCAAAACGGTTATTAAGACCCGCAACCGTCTATTTTCCCTAGCTTCCTGGTTGAGTCGTCCAGCGGTTCAGTCGGGCATTAAGCCTTCTGGCCAGGGCAAAAACAGACGCTTCCATCAGACCATCTTCAAAGCCCTAAATAACGTCGTGAATACTACCTACCAGGTGGTCGCAGCTGAACGGCGGAAGAATAGGTTAGCAGCTGAAGGAAGGCATCGAGAGCCAAGCATTTCCATCTCGACCGCATGGACGCGCCGACAAAAGAGTTCATTTGAGGAACACATACGCACCAGGGCTGAAGTGTCAGGTCTGCTTTATGAGCTGAGTAGGGAGCGGCGAGTGGCTGTCTTTGACTTCTACCGAACTGTGCGGAGTCGGTTGAACTGGCCCGAGGAGCGACAGAGAGCTTGGCTGATAAACGGTACACTGCCTGCCTTGATTGAGGAACTGCGTACACCCCGTTTACAGGGCAGAGATTTTGTGGATGAAAAGCTGTACGCCGCCCAGCACTATTTGCGAAATTTTATTCGGCTGAATAAAGACACGATTAAACTGCCGATTGGGGAAGCCTATGATATTCTTGTGAATCGCACTATGACGGTTATCCAGGAGGATGAGTCTCCTAGAGATGGCAGCGACCGTTATACGCTCTGGTGCGAGTTTATGGACTATGGTGGTTGAAAGATCACATGAAGCTGGCTTCGGCAAAGGCAAGCCTCGGCTGGAAGATCTCGAATTGTATTTTTTTCCCCGAGCCTTCAGGTAATTTGACCGGCATGTTGAACGTCGGCGGTTTGTAAAAAGGATATCTGTGGGCATTGGTACAGACTTTGGCCCATCCACCATATTCCTTTCAACTACATTTTTTATTAAGCAGCATTTACATTCCAGCTTTTATTTATTTTTTGAATAAAATATTAAATGTGTGTGAACAATTGCAATTTCTCCATCTTAAAAGGTACTCGATCACCTTAATCAGACTCCAAAATATTTAACATCCAGCGTCCCCAAGGCACAGCAATAAAAGGTGTTTGTCAGAGTTGCTTGAACGATATCAGCACAATGTTCTCAGGAAACGCTGCAGGGTATATAATTAAGTGGACCTTCCGATACCTGGATGTATCTCCTATGTTTTCGCAGCTTTTTGTGAAGGCAGAAGAACATATGGAATTTCGCTGCACAGTTTTTTTTACTTTGAGCACATAGGCTTTGTGATAAGTAGGGATGCACAACCAATACTAAGAAGAATTGAGCGTTAAATTTTAAAAACTTTGAAATATTACGAAAACATCTTTAGAGCCGTAAACATCAATAGGACTCCGACTATTTGATTGAGGGGTAGGTTATGGAGACATCATGGTTGGCAAGGGACATGATGCAAAGAACAGCAAATTGGATACCGTCTCCGACACCTGAAAGTAAAAAGTAGAGTGTTTAAATGGGAAGGATGCGGGTGGAAGTATACTCAGCGAGGAGTCACATCGGTTGTACGGATGACTAACAGGATCGAGGACTGAAATCCGGGCGAGGTGTGAACTATTAATATAGCGGAAAGGAACACAAAAAAACATGTGATCGGATCCTGTCCTGCCAAGATTCATACCCACTG